ACAAGCAAAGAAACAAAGCCATATTCAAGGGGTGGAGTTCACTTATTCACATAAGTAATTGATAAGCATACCTTTTGTGAGTAGGACATTATGGCAGCCAGCGGCGGCAGCACATCGCAACATAGTCCCAAGGTTGCCAGGATCTCGGATGTTGTCGCATATCAAGGACAGCGGCACTGAATGACCTTTACTAGCGAAGTTCAAACGAGACGGGTCCGGACGAGAAAAGATGGCTGCGGAAGAAGAAGTCAAAGTCAAAAAACAACTCTGAGCACATGTGCTTCATAATGAACCAGAACTAAATATGTGACCCTCACCGATCACCCCTTGCGGGGCCACAAGGTCGGACCAGATCTTGATGTCCTCAAACTTGACTTTGACTAGCGTGGCCCTTTTCAGCTTGTCTAAAGGCAGCTCTCGCAGCCGGTCCACGGTGCTGAAGAACACCATCTGTGGGTTGGCTCCAGCATCCAGGGCGTCACAGATCAGACGCCTGCCCTCCAGCAGGATTTTACACTGGTGCTCCCGAAATGTCCTGGAGCGAGCAACACTCGCTAACCTCCTGAGAGGACAGATGAGGGGAGGTAGAGAGGCAGAGATGATTACAGTGGGAATATGAATAATGATCAGAAATATGATTGGAAACATAAAGTAGCCTAACATTGAGATACTGAAGTAAAGTGTCCTACCCTGCTTTCTAAACAACTCGCTTTTGTTGCGACCTAATCAGAGACTGACAAAGATGATAAAATCTCATGATCAACCAATCAGACCTTATCTTTTAAATGGTGATATCTGAGACAATCATGGCAATAATCCACTGCTGCCTTCATGAAGTGACACTTACCCCAGTCGTTTATCTCCAGGGGAAGCCCTCTCGAAGCTTAGTCCATCAACTTGATCCTTTACAACAGCGTGTCTTATAGTTGAATGCACATTACTCGCTTTAACAAAGTCCTCTTCAGGATGCTTCACCGTAGCTGTGACTTTTCCCACCTTCTGCCTCTGGACGTCTCGCCCTGCTGGCTGAGGCTGTGGCCTCGGCTTGATGACTTTATGCGTCTCGTTTTCGGGCATCAACACTCGGACAGGTGTCCTCCTCAGTCCGCGTACATACCGCTTCGATTCCACAAGAACAAGACCGCCTCCCCGTGATAGAAAAGCACTTCGCTCCATGGAAACGAGACATATCACGCTTCTCATGTACGCCGCCATGTTTGCCCCGTTTCTTCTTCTCTTATTTCCCGGAACGTTGCACTAACACAAACCAATCTACTTACCGCCACCAGCTGTAGTAAAGGTGACACTACATTTAACTATATACAATAAATCTAGTTTAATGGGTAAAGTTAATAATTCACCGCGTAGTTACCAAACTACTTGCAGTCTATTTGTAAATGTGTCGTCTTTTTTGTTTACTTCTTTTACTTTTTCTTTTCTAATTTCAATTAACGGTCACAGTGGCTGGTGCTGTAGCCTCGCGATAGAGTGTGACATTATGGGCGATACCATTAACCTGAATGGATAGGGGTGGCGAACGTAGTTTTATTTATTTTTATACTGCGTAAAGACGTTTCCCTTCTCCATGGGGATTTAATAATGTAAATTAATCAATAAAGGCTAACACAATAACCAGGAATCTTACTTACAATTGTAAATTCCTGCTGTTTGCTTACCTCTGTGTTTACTTTCAACCAATCGACGACAGAGAACTCGATCATCAAGGACGCTTAATCGCTCCCTGCTCACCGATCGTCACTCACAGACATCATTAACTTTTATATCTGTAAAGAAACATGGCATTGAGACGAGCATTGCATTTTGTTTTCAAAGTCGGTGACAGGACCAAAACGGCCACGTTTTACCGAGATGTTCTGGGTATGAAGGTACATTTGTTGAGTTTCATTTAAAGGCCAAAAGCAATTAATTAATGTTGTTTTGTGTTCCGTAACGTCAGTAAGCTAACGTCAATTCCTCCTGTCACGTGAGTCACACATTAATAAATGTGTACTTCTACTGAATGCATATTTTCTCTTCTCATTAATTTTAGATATTACGTCATGAAGAGTTTGAGGAAGGCTGCAAAGCAACGTGTAATGGGTAACGTCAGAAAACTAAACGCATATCTCAACTTTGTACTCACAAAGGTGTACAGCACAGAGTTATGCAGAGCTGTTAATCCCCACTACACTCATCCTGTGTCCATACAGCCCGTACGATGGGAAATGGAGCAAGACGATGGTCGGCTTTGGCCCTGAAGATGACCATTTTGTTGCTGAACTGACATACAATTATGGGATGGGAGAGTATCAGCTTGGCAACGACTTCTTGGTGGGTGAGAGTTAAGTGAAAGACTTTACAGAGGACAACACCATGTCGTGTTGTAAAGGCTTGTTGTCATGTCATA